GCTGTACTTGCGTTAAGAGTTTTCCCTTTTTAACCCTCAGGTTTTGGTGCTACCTAGCAACAAATCTGGAGCTACAATATTCAGTGTTGCTCATCAACTCAGTGATTGACAGGTAATGTTCTGCAGATAAATACCATGACATACTGGAGCCACAGCACTGAACAACTCTCTGAGTTATAGGTGCCACAGAGGTTTTTTTTTTTCAGATCTCCACAGTTTATTGTCTTGCCAGTAGAATCGTAGAGCTTTGTCATAAACAAGTCCACACTGTGCGCTGAGAAGATCAGCCTGAGCGGAGTCGAGGACAAGAACAAAATTTGCATTTGCACTGTGGCACCGCAAAAAAGCAACATGATGGGGTCAACAGGGGACAGGACCCAAGCAACCTGAACTACCGACCCGTCAGAATATCCTCAGTAGCCACCGGTGCCAGTCAGCCACTGTATCAAAACTGTACTGGTCATTTACTCTGTTAACATTTGATTATTGGTTTTCTGGATTTAATTAGATGTCATGGACTTTGTACTTGAACTAGAAGGTTCACAACATTTTAATCTTTATATATATATCTTTGCAGTATATCTCTGGATATCAGCTGTGTTACTGTCTTACAAACTGTCTTGAGAGTACATTTCTAGTAAAATAGTTCTCAATAAAAATCAGAAATCTATTTTCAACTACCCCAAAGTAGGTGATGTAATTATGCAAATATTTGATGTACCCCTGGAGGAATGCAACATAATTAGTGTTCATCTACAGACCTCAAGGCCCGGTGTCCTGGACTTTTTCGGGCTGTTTGCTACCACATCAGCAGGCACATTGTAAATTAGCTGCTAATTATTCTGTGTAGAGCCTGCTAATGACTCATTTATTTGACTCAAGTGTGTTGAATTGCTAAAAGATCTAAAACATGCAAGACGTTGACTCGAGGACTGACTTTGACTACCATTAATGTAAAGGGACAAAAGGAGGGTAAAGGCGTTGGTCAACCATTGGTGCATTGCTCCTTATCTTTGGGGGAGCTCTTATTGTCAGGACAAAAATAGTTTACCTTATTTACATTAACTCTACACATGACAACAGAACATAAAACCAAGTAACAAAATCCCCTAAGCAATTTGATGTGTCAGCAAAGACTACTGTGACAAAAATGACTGAGCCAACTATAAGTCTTACTTTATAGCACACGATTCAGACTTGTGAGGCCAGGGCCTAATCCCATGCACCCTGTGGTGGAGAGATTTATTGCAATCGTGTTTTAATCCCAGTTTAACTAGGCACATTTCACAGAGCACAGGTCCCCCTGCACAAAGGAAGGACAGAAAGTCACTGCAGCTGAGATTAAAAAACAAGTAGCAGATGAAGCCATTTAGGTAAATGTGGTTATTAGGTAATTTGGAGGTTAGCCTCAGCATTTCTACCTGTTTACATCCTGCTTTTACAACTTACCCAATAAACTATAAAAAGTGTCATAATCTATGATTGATCTCTGTATCTGCTCTATTTAGCTCTTGTAAACCCTTACTATCCTGTGACATAAGCAGATAATGCAGGTTAGCCGGTCTGCTCAGAGTGTCAATGCAATTTCAACTGCCTGCCAACAAAGGCAGACAGAAAGTAGAAGTCCTAACAGAAAGTTCATTTTTAAATTATCACGAGAAAGTAGAAAAATCAATGGAGGTACTGGTGTCTGTCAAATGGGAGTGTCAGAAAGAGAGGGTGGTAGAAGAGGCACCAGCAGACTTCCTGTTCCTTCTCATGCAGTAGGATGCTTTTGTATGCAAGACAGGAAGTGGTTTTGTTTAAGGCTGGTTCAGAGAAGAGATTTATAATAACTTGAAGACATCTAAGATATCAGTTTGTGGTGTTAAAATATCTGATAGGACACTGTTTAGGGACTCTTAGCATAGAGGACAACTTTTTCCACTTCATTATCATTAATGTTCTCCAGAAAGTTCACATCACTGAAACTTAGATGGAAATAAAGCTGAAACAGATACTGGGCATAACATTACAGCTAATTTTCTCCTTATATATCAAACCAGATGGAATCGTCTGTGTAATGCCAGTCAAGATTATCTACTTCAAATTATTACAGTATTTCAAATTTTGAAATATTAAAACAATGAGATGTTTATTGTTTTCATACATCTATATACATTTTAACTTTGCTCAAATTTCCAGACTTTTACTTAGTGTCCTTGTAGGATTTTATTTCTATTTAAACATGTAAAATGGGTTAAATATTTCACATATTTTCTCAAGAGCTACTCTCAGTGGTTTGCTTTAATTTTGGCCCATTCTTCCCAACAGAACTTTATAAGACCAAGACAGATTTACTCACACACACCTTTAGTTCTGTGAAAAAATATCTAGGGGGTTTGAGATCAGGGCTTGCTGAGGATTGCTTCAAAACATTGTCTTATTTGGCCTTAACATCTATAAACATAAAGTATGCTAAGGGTCATTCATTATTTGAAGGACTAGTTTATTACTTACCACTTCTTACCAGATTTCTGGGAAGTGGGAGGCTCTATATGTCCATATGTTGTGCAGCTTTACAAGCAGATAAGGAATATATTGAATATGTGTATTAAGTAACTAGAACTGGAAATTATATTATTAATATGTGGCGTGTAACATGGCTTCAGTTGGCAACCAGTTGTCTTGCCTATTAGATTGAGAGGGTCATGGGACAAAACAAAAAAAAGGGGGCAGTCGGCTACTTAAATAATCTCTGTTGCAGGGATGTGATATCAGGGGAGTCGCTCTCACTTACAGCAATTGACATTTCTGCTTCAACACACTATGCTCTGTGTTATGCCATATATTTTGTGAATAGCACCAGTCCCTTGAAAATAGGAATGTTAAATGGACCCACCCATCACATCCACATATTGATCATCAATTAGCATAATGCTAACAGCCCTGTAATTCACACCTGGGATAGTGTTCTCTGACCTGCAAGCTTCCCTCAAATGTTATAACGGTGCCCATTAGCAAAATACTTGATTTTAGTTTCATCAAACTATAAAACATATTTAGAAGTTAAGATCTTTGTCCCTCAATGTTATTGCATTATGTAATCTGTCCATTTATGGTTTTAAAGTAATAATTTCTTTCTTTCTGAGTGAACCCATAGAGTTTGCTCTCTAATGGAGACTCTTCTTTTTTTTTCCCAGCTTCATCCAACTTCTTCATCTCTTTTATTTGGATCCGGCCTTTACAGGCACATCAAAACTCTTTCAACTCAGGGATGAAGCACCCATCTCCTTTCTCCACGATGGTGTTAAAACTTGTATACAATTGTTTCACTAGAGGATTGTGGCACATTCAGTCATCTGAAAACTGGACCGAAGGATGAACCAGGATTGTGGAGTTTGCAGTTATTTTCCTGTTATCTTGGTTATTGGTTTTGATTGCCAAAGGTTGTCACATAATGAAGCAATGTCTGGGGGGGTTGCCTTGGAGTTAAACCACCAGTGTTCCTCATATTTTAGGAATGTGACCACACCGAGCAGTACTAGATGGTAAAATAGCTTTTTTGACTCTTATATTATTATTATTATTATTATTATTTTTTTTTTTTTTTTAAGTACTTCATTTTCAACATTTGCAGCAAAGAGGCTTTGGACATTTTTCTCCTCTGCAGATAGGATTGTTTCTGACAATGTTTTATTTTGGGACATTTGGTATAATGTTTTGGAATCGTGCTCGGACATTTTGCTGAAATTAGACTATTTAGATGAATTTCAATATGTGTATCAACCGCTGACATACCTGCGCACCTGCACATAAATGTGAGGAACCCGTCTTATAGAGATCCTTCAGTGCTTTGAAAATGTGTTCATTTTTACATTTACAGGTATGTGGGCTTGTTTAGGTGTTCGTATGTTTTAGCGATTCTCCTAAAATTAACAAAGTGGGTACCCGCCCCACCGACGAGACGGCCTACTGAACCGGTGTGCTTCCTAATACGCCACTGACTCACATGGATTCACCATCTGGTGAACATGTACGCTCCCACTTTGGGTAGATCACTCAGGTCTTTCTCAAGGACCCTGATATCTGTCAATAAAAATCTTAAATTCTGAAATTAATTTATAGAAATTAATTTCTATAGCTGAAAGTGAAATTAGTCTAAAGACTTTTTAAGCCATTAAAATACAGTTTCAAAGCAGATTTATTCAGTTTCAGGTTAAAAAATACAGTTTCAATTTAGGGAATTTCACTTTCAAACCTTTAATTTCAAATTTTGCATAAACAGATTAACTCTGGGCAATTCAAATTCAGTTTCTGATATTCAAATACAGTTTCTGCCCATAGAGCTCGGCCTTTGAAGGTAGAGGTCTGGCCATAGGGGGGTTCAGAAGAATTCCCAGGGTACTTCTATCAGGTTGAACAACTGTGTCTTTTAAACACAAAAATAAGAAACATCAGTTTGAAGTTGGTGTATAACCACCCCCTCTGCTGCAGGTGGTTCAGTGCAATGTCTCAGTGAGTCAGTCTGATAGTTTGCATATTAGAAGGAGATATGAACGGCGCCTCCCAAACTAAAAAAAAATTAAGAAAAAAAAAAGAAAGAAAAGAGTGGGCTAAATAAGCAAATATGCTAAAAAGAAAGGAGAGAGAAGTGGACCAGAGAAGATGAAAAATTACATTTTTCTTCCGTTTTGCGATTTATCCCCATTATGCTCCAAGAACATCCTGATGGTAAGGAGAGTTGATTCTGTTCTAGAGCTTTTCTAGAATATCTGGACATGAGTTAAAGAAAAACTCATAAGAATGAAGACACCATAGACAGCCCTTTAGCCTCATCTTAGTCAGACGGCAGTTTCTCAATATCCAGACCTCTACAGTAGATCCTTCCTGCCTACTGCTATAAGAATCTACAAACAACTTGAAGAAAATGTCATCAGGTAAAACAACTTTTGATTTCAAAGTGGGACTAATAAAGTATTTTAGAAATGAATTTCCCCTTCCCTTCCCTCATATCATACCGTTTGGCCTCCTCTAGGTGACACAGGTACTCGTAGGCAATGTTCTGCCGCCTCCTCTCATCCATCTCCTCTGCTGACAGCCTCTCATCATCCTCAATGGCTGGGGGGAAAAAACAAGCACATTTAAATAACTATCCTATTTGTCTTTTGATTAGATTGGTTTTGTTCTAGGATTAAAAAGAGAAGGTCAGCCTCATTTGTTTCATAATCACACTATAAAAGTGCATCATGATTGATTTTTATTTACATATGTACAATATTCTACATATTTATATACAAATATACATACAGAAAGCCCATATTCTTATCTTCAGCTACCACAGTATACATGT